ATAAACGAAATTTTATTTCTGTCAGAGAAATACATATATGTATAACGGACAATTAAGTATGTAATGTTGAAGAAATGAAAACAGGGCTGCCCCGAAATTCGATTTTCGATGGGTAATAGTTCAAATTATGCATCTTCTGGAATACTGATCTACATAATTTTGAAAATCAGAGAAGATTTTTTGAAAATTAAAATTGACTGATTAATTCTAAAATTTAAATTTAAAATCAAATAATTCAAGACCTTACATAAAAATCCTTTAAGTAACTCAAAATTTTTATGTGGAAAGCAGTTAAATTTAAAATAAAACTTTTTAAATGTATAGAATTTTCTAACTATTGCATATAAATATATTAAAAATTGGGCGCGAATTCATAAAATATTTAAAATTAAAGTTTATTTATTTAATTTTTATGCTTTAGTTGCTTAACTAAACTTTTTTAAATTTATTTTTACTCTAAAATGATGTGATATATGTATAATAGTTAGAGCTAGGATTTTTAAAAGGCACTAAAAAACTGCGAAAATAGGCACCTAACTCCGAAAAAGGGCAAAATAGGCAAGCAAAATTTACAAAATTTCTTAAAATCTGCACTAGATCTGCAAAAGATTGACTAAAATCTATAAAAAAGTTTGAATCTAAGCAATAAAATGTTAAATAAATTAATTTTGACGATAAGAATTACAATTACATATAAATGAATTCATATTAATTATTTTGCTTCCGAAAATAATTTCAATATATTTTTACAATAAAAATATTTTGACAAAAAAATTTCTTCAAGAAAAATTTTTTTGAAAAATTAATTTCACCAAAAAATAATTTTTAGACAAAAATTCCTCAAAACATGGCCAAATATGCACAAATTTTAGTAAAAATATGCAAAATAGTCTAAAAAAGGCATAATAGGGATTTTTGCCGGAAAAATTTAAAATAGGCAATTATAGGCAACGATAAAAATTGTTTGAAAGCAGATTTCATAAAAAATAACACCTGATTTGGATGTTTCAGCATCAGGGCTATCTATGAAATAACAGGCATTTTGCCTAAAATCCTAGCTCTAATTATAATTGTTAGATAAAAATAAAAGAAACAAAAATATTTTTCAAGAAAAATATGACTTTTTAATTTCTTAAATTTTCAAGTATGATTAATTTACATATATGTACATACTAGTCACTTATAAAAATTTTGTAAAAAAATTTTATTAAAAAAATTTATTCATAAATGTCATTATTTGATTAAAATAACACAAAAATAATTTTCGACTTTTTTGAAATGACTAAGAAAAACATTTTAAAATATAAACTTTTTTCTAAAAAAAGTAAAATGACAAAAAATTTCTCTTAAAAAATTACTCATAAATATGTTTAAGTGTCAAATATTTTCACTATTCTTGGATATATAAATATTCTTGCCAAACAGTGTGGATATTCAGTTTTAAATCAATCTGAAATTTATCTAGGCATTGTTCACTTATTAGAATTATTCCAGCCTCCCTCTAGAAACACTTTAAATTGACATATTTCTCACATTAAAAATTCAGAAAATTCCTATTCTTTCTCGGTTACTGTTTTTTATAATTTTTATATTAAGCTAACAATATTAAAATAATAAAATTAAAATAAATTAAAAATGCTTAATTATTTTACTTCCATTTCAATGATTTTGACAATTATATTTCCTTTCTCTTTGGAATATTACGGAGGGGGAAGTTATGGGGGTTATGGTGTTGGGGGTTATGGCGGGGGAAGTTATAGCGGAGGGAGTTATGGCGGGGGAAACTATGGAGGTAGTGGTTATAAGTATGGACTTGGAGGTGGTGGGGGACATCAAAAAGGTTTGGAAATTAAAAAAAAATTAATTTTTGAATATAAAAACTGAAAGTCCTTCTGTGGGGGTGATTAAGCTGTAAGTTGATTTTAAGTCAGATGAACTAAATCTAGCTTATGTTAGTAATCACATATTATTTCCGAAATTATTAATAATCTTATGTGCTCTTGTGAGCTGGATTTGAAAAGATTTATTGATAAATTATAATTTGGATTGAGATCTAATCGTTATTAAACGTAATCGTTTAAGTGCTCGGTACTCCTTCACTTTACAGAAAAATTAGGTTCCCAGAGTAATTTCAAAAATATGTGATTTATGCTTATGTATTAAATAAAATTTTAACCTAAATTTTTAAGTCCCAACATATCAACAGGCAAATCCTGGTTTTGCACAAGGATATGCTTATCGTGTACCTGTAGTTCAACCTTGTGGTGTATATTATCCTTGCCCTCCTCCCACTGTTCCAACCTCAACTTCAACTGGTTTTGTTTTAAATATATAATTGGGTATTTATTTAAAAATTGTAGTTTAATGAGAACTTTAGGTTTTTTCAATTTTATGTATTTTTTAGTTTTGAATCTTGTCCTGTTCTCTACTTATATTTGTCGGATCTGAATTTCCATACAGTCTAAGATGATGACAATGGCTGTTAACTTCTAGGAGTTACTAGCTTTAGCCAAAACTAATATCTTAGTTAGAATTAAACTAGTTTGGTTACCATGCTAAATAGGAATCCGTAAACTCCTGGCAGTTAAACAGTTCTTAATTAATATTATTGTAGAAAGTACAACAACTACACCGGCAGAAACAACTGAAATTGAAACTACCACAGAGGAGGGAACTACAGTTGAGGATACTACAATTCAAGAAACTACAATTGAGGATAATACTAGCGAAAGTCCTACGGAAGGGAGTACAGATGAGGGAAGTACAGTTGAGGATACAACAATAGAGGGAAGTACAAATGGAGCTCGTTAAGATTTTAAAGGTAAACATTTAATTAAAAATATATTTTTGATAAAACTTGAAAGTTTGAGGTGTGTTGTCATAATTTAGGGATCGGTTTCTATCATATTACCAATATTTACACTAATACTTAATACTCTCGAACTAAAATTCTAAAATTGGAAGAAAATTCCCTTTTTTCCTTTTGTAAAAGTTATTTACAAAATTTTATATCTTCCCTCTAGAGTAACTTAAATTCATTTCGAAACCCAGTAAAAATTTTAAATTAATGGTAAATTTTAGTTTAATATAAGAGTTATTTTCCATAGTTCATATATTTTAATTAATTCTAGATTTTAACAAATGCATTGCGCATTAATGTACAATACAGAATTTAAGTTTAAAGATTGTGATTAATAAAAATAATATTTTGTGCTTTAATTTACCCTAAAATCTATTATTATTAAAAATTAAATGAATAAACTTTTATTTGAAATATTTTAAATAAATAAAATTTCTTTAAAATTAGAGATAATTAATATAAAATTTAAATTTGCCCAAAAAATTATTGACAATATTTTACTGAAACAATTATTATGGAAATATTAATCTTTTTAAAATAAATTGAGTTACACAATATAAATAAAAGGGTTGGGTGGTAATTATTTTTGATGGATTCGGGGAACTCCCGGATAACTGGATCCGAATTTTTTGGTACCCAGATCCGAAATTTATATTAAATTAATGAGAATGTCCGGTGACGGAGAAGGGCTCGACAATAATTGTGTTTTAGATCCAGATATCTGAACAATAACCATCAAAAAACTTTATGTTTTAAAGGTGTTAAACTGAGACTTATCTATTAAAACATTATCTTTTATTATTATTATCTTTATCTTTATTATAAACATTATCTTTTATTAAAACATTATCTTTTATTAAATATAAAATGTCAGCCGACATTTGGGGCCGATATTCCAGCAGCTATATTTGGGGTTATTCAATTTGATAGGTCGGGCGGAGAATAATTTATGTCGGATCACACCACAACTATAATATTAGCAAATGTTTTGTTATAATAGTTATTGTCCGTATTATTCAAAATCCTTAATCAAAAATTATTTATTTTTTAATTCCATTTGATCTATTTATCCCCATCTTTTTCTAATAATTTTTTATTTTATTATTTATTTAATTTCTTTTTTTCCTTCCTTTGTATTATTTTCTTCGTTTTCGTCATCAAATTTAGTTACAGGTGTAAAATACATAGATTCGGTCTCAAAAGTCTCCAAATTATTAGAATTAACAGTTCCGATTGAAGAAGATTGTGATTCCTTTGATTTTTGTTTAGCCAAAGTTCTTCGCCCAGCAGCAACAGCTTTCTGCCACGGTGTTTTCTTGTTTGGTTTTGCTGAATAATTTAAAGGAGATGGATTTACTAAAAATTATTTTTAAATTTTATAATTAAAATTGATTGTAAAGATATAACATCACACTCTGTTGACTTAAGCTCATTCGGGATCAATTTTCATTTTTGATTTTTTATCCAATTTTTTCAAAATAACATAAAAAATGTCTAATTGTTTTTGTTTAATATTCGGTCGTGTGGGCCCTGAAACGAGAGCAATAAAAACTAAAAACTTGCGTGTTTCTGGAAAAAGAATATAGTGTTCAGCAAGTGGCGTTAACGATCCTTTTTCAATTAATTTATTTTCTTCCAAATATTTTTCTTTTAAATTTGTTTCAGAAAAACTTCTTTGTTCAGTTTCAACCTTTTCTTTTTTATTATTTCCTCCAAATTTAATTTCTTTAGACGGAAAACTTTTTAATGACGAAAAACGTTTTAATTTTATAAATTTTTCTTTCAAATCATTTAATGCTTTGGAATGTTTGTTTAATTTTAATATTTTTTGTTTATTTGAAGGTTTTTCTATTTCTAAAAAATATTTTTAAAGAAATTATTAGCAATTTATGTAAAAGTTATGATTTATTTTGATCCACATATTAACAGTAAATTTCCTTGTTTTGTTTGAGCGAAGCTCTTTAACTGTTTGGTATGAAAAAGCTTTTGTTTTCATGGGGATAGTATCCGAGTACAGGATCCGTGTCGTAATCTCGGACAAACCCCAGAACATATAAAAATATAAAAAAAAGGCATAAAAATCCCAAATATAAACGACAATTTAGTTTAATTCCCCAAACATTATTTTAAACAAAAATATTTAAAAACAATAAATTTTACCAGAATCCGATAAAGAAGCTCTTATCTTTTTACCCTCTTTAATCTCCTTTTTTTTCTTCTCCATATTAATATCAACAGGTATTTCTTCAGAAATTGTTTCAATTTCAAACGATGCTTTATGGTGATTTTGTAAATATTTCTCGAAATTTCCAGGGAGAATTTCTGTAATTTCCCCGCTATTTTCAATTTCATTGCTTTTACTACAATTTGCTTTATCGCTTTCGGTATTCGCCGAAGTTGAAGGTTTTGTATTTGAATTACTTGTAGATGCGCTGTTTGTTCTAGATGATTGTTTCTTTTTCCTTCTTTCAGCTGCTTCTAAATTTAAAAATAAATTTGCTTTATTTTTTTGTTTTTAACATAATTCCCGACAAGATAACTATAGATAATAAATTTTATATATTTTAAAACATATTTTATGACCTATCCTAAGTCTATGCAAGAGGCGGCATAATACACCGGTCCGGTCATGAGAAGAAATTTCCCACCAGCTGTCTAAACTTTAGAATTAGCTGAAAGAGAGATAGCTAGTCCATTTAAGCTTTATGTATTAAATCTCTTTTATTGTTTGGATGTAAAAGATTTATTGGTTAATTGTTTGAACCTTTTAGATATAATTCTGAACGTCGACTTGGACAAAATTCATAATAGCCCATATTCATATCATATTTGCTTTTCTTCAATATACTCTCATCAACATTGTTAGCGTTTTCTTTAGGAAAACTAAAATTAAAAAAAATTTTGAAGGAAATATAAAGAGAAAAGGTAATATATCCAAACATATTTTGACAAAAATTTACCTAATTCTTCGATCAGCCGGGATCGGGTAAAAATCATTAAATGACTTAACGCGCCTTTTTCCCTTTAAATCAGTTTTTTCATTATTTTCATTTATTTCTATTATTTCACTTTTTAAATTTAACAATTCCTTTTCTAATTCCTCCTTTTTATTTTTAAGATTTTCAATTTCAATTTTACTTGATTCAATAGCATCTTTTTCTGATTTACTACGCCCAATTTTTTTCTTTGATTTTTTGGATTCTTTTATTTCATCCTCATCAGCTTTTTGGTTAGAACAATCACTGTTACACCCATCTAAGAGGTTCTTACTACTTGAACCTTTCGAACCCTTTAAATTGTAGTTTTGAATTACTACATAGTTAATTCTAAACTCGTTATAAAAAGATAAAGGAAAATTTGTGGGAAAATTTATTTGAGCAAATTGCCCGAACCCATCAAAGAAATTCGAGAAGATTATATGAAAGAAATCCGTCTAATTAACCCAAATAAAATTTTATTAGTTTTGATATTTTCTTGACACATACATAAACTGGGAAAACTTCTTTAACAAAAGTTCATACAGTAATCGAAATGTATGAATTTCTTGTTTTATGAAAACTTTAATAGATTATGTCATACTAAATTGGGTAATTAAAAACTATTTTTATTTAAGATAATAATAAAAATTTTCTGATATATTAACATATTTTGTTTATTTGGGGGTTGCGAATTCTTTATTCGAAAAAGTATGGATTTTTATGACAAAATAAAAATCAATGGGTTTTCCGACATCCACGAAATTTCGGAAATTTTAGATAATTTGGAATAAATGAAAAACTAACCTTATCTAAAGATTTATTATGAACCTTTGTCTTAAGCACGCAACCACATATTTTTTTAAAATTTTTATTAGGTGATGAATTTACTTTCAATATCATAAAAAATATTAAAAGTAAACAAAAAATTAATAAATTTTTGATCATATTGTTGAGGTATTTGTTGGATATTTTTAATTTATTTGTTTTTTTATCTTAATTTAAATTATTTGGGTCCATAATCAGACGATTTCTCACACTAGATACTATTATTGTTTAGAGGGTGAGACCATTATCAGAGGGATCCGTTTTTAAAATCCGTTCCGCGCAGCTAGTCGGGAACGGATTTCAAAACGGATTTTTCCCTATCCCAACAATTTTCAATTGGAGGGACGAGAGGGGGAGACTTTCAATTAAAAATTTTTATTTAAATGATAAAAAATATTTTGAGAAATAAATTTTGTATAATTAAATGGAATAAAAAATAATAAAAAAAATTTAAATTTATTTTTTCTTTAAAAAAGGGCAAATTGACAAACAATGTTGCGAAATATAAAAAAATAAAATTAAAAATAAATTTTAAAAGTGCATGTGAAAGTCGGTTAAATCAAATAATAAAAAGGGCTGAAAATAAAGTGCAAAAATAATTTTATAAAGAGACAGACAATTTATTATTTATTTATTTTTCAAAAATTTGCACTTTTTATTTTAAAAAATAAATTGTGAAATAATAATAAAAATATTTAGGGGAAGAGTTAAATATAGGGTTTGACCCCGACCCCGTACCCCGAACCCGTTCCCGAACGATTTTTTCACGATTCTCCCCGACCCGAACCCCGCCCCGAAAAAAAGTGAAAACCCCGTACCCCGACCCGAAAAGTTTCGGGGTTATCGGGGTTTTACATACCCAAAAAATGCCATTTTTGGGAGAATTTTAAGAGAAAAATTTTAAAAATTTCCTCCCAATTTACTTTGCTTTTATTATTTTTGAAAGAAAAATGAATGAAATATCAAAATTCTCTTTCCTGCTGTGTTAAGAGACTTGTGGTTGAGTGGCTTAGTTGTTGGTTTTGTCCTATATTTCCATTAATTTAGTATTGGGTTCGGATTCAAATAAGCTGAACTCGTTTGATTTTGGATTTTTCTTTACTTGGATTTTTCTTACGTTGCCTTCCAAATTCTCAAAATATTTGACCTCAAATCCCTAACCCTCTATATCTCTCCAAATCGCTGTATCCTTAGTAACCGTCCTTAATACAAAAATCCCTTTATTTCCTCAGCTATAATGCTAGGAGTTTACCGGCGGATTTGATATCAGGCGTAGGAAGTGATTAATGGGATTTGAATTGATATAGGGTGTAGATTAAGGTTGGTGGATAGTTGGAAGTCTTCGGATATCCGGATCCGGTATCCGAACCGAAAATTTACGCATATCCGCCTTTTTCGGATCCGGATCCGCCAACCTTAGTTAATCCTTCCAAATCGCCTTAATCCTTCCCTTAATCCCTCCAAATCCCCTTATATCCTTTGTTAGACACCTTAAATCACATTTAATCCCTAAAAAACCTCTTATATTATCTCTAATTCCTCTATCTCCCCTTAATTTCTGAATAAATTAACGAAAATAGACCGAAAATGGCTTATTTTTAGAACATATTTTCCTCAAAAAATTTTTCCACTAAACCCCCGTACCCCGACCCGAACCCCGAGCATATTTTGCTCCCCCGACCCGAACCCCGCCCCGAAACAATTCGAAAACCCCGTACCCCGACATACCCGCCCCCGAGCGTTCGGGGTCAAACCCTAGTTAAATATAAGGCCTTATAATATAAATTTATATTAAAGCGGCCGAACCCACCCCAGAAAATTTTTGGATGGGATTTGATCCTGAAAGCTCTCCGATGAAAGATTGTTAACTGAATAACCATCGCGCCATAGACTGATCGATTTCATTTTTGCTTTATTTGCTAAGCTGTGAGGAAACTTAGCCGGACTTACATTATATTGAAGTATAATTTAGGTAATAAATTGTAAAAATTAGTCTAATACCATATTGGCTGAAATGCGGTATTCATTTCCTCCTCAATTTTCCCATTCTTTATTTTAAATATGTTTTGACTTATTTCTTAATCGGAAATTAAAGATATTTCAAAGCGTTCACAATGCACTCTGTTCCAAAATTATGGAACAACCTAAATTTATTTTTTTGGTCATAAAAAATTTTTTAAGGTAGCTACAAATTTGATTTTTTAAGACAGATTTTAAATAGAAAGATATAAATTATGTAAAAATTTCAAAAAATTTCGATGGTTTTTCAATGAGATATGATAAAAAATAGGGGTGACCTTATAATTTTGGAACAGAGTGTATTACTTTAAACTAATATGTATATACTTTATAATTAATGTTTTATGTAGGTGCTAGAAATAAGTTCAACATGGAGATAAAATATTTAAATATAAAGATGAAATTTAAACGATTGTTTGGGGAATGCTGTGGAAGGATATATGCGCAATGTAAAAGAAAAAAAAATAATTTTTAATGAATATTTTTGAATTAATAACAAATAATCAGGTAAAGATCAGACAAAAACTTATCAGGAAGATATAATTTATATTAGTCTAATCCGGCATAAAATATATTGTTGATTGTTGTGGTATAAATTATCGACAAGGTTTTCAGAAATTCGATTAATTTTCAAAATATACTTGTTTTCATATAAAATATAAAACTTTTACTAAAAATTTAATAAATTTTGCTCAAAAATTTAAGTTCATACCAAATATTCCAAATCAGCATTTAACACCTTAAAAGTAAATAAATTATCTACTAAAAATGTAAAAAAATTTAGTAAAATTTTATACTATTGTTAGAGCTATAAGCGAAAAGGTAAGGATTTTGATTTTGAAAATTCGATTAATTTTCAAACTCATTTACGACTCCTTTTAAGAACTCAATTACATAAACTTTAGAATTATATATCATAGGCAGTGCCTCGATGTTTGCACACAATTTGCACTCGATCCTCGTACTTAGTAAAAACTCGTATTTTTGTTTAAAGACGAGTTTTTACTAGTCTTTAAACTCGTCTTTTTATTTAATCTTCTGATACCGAACTCAAAATATATATCCCGATCCCGGCCAATCCCAAACCCGGCCGGGATCGGGATGTGCATCAGATCCCAATGCAAATCCCGATTTTATAAATTGACTAGAAGTCTGTGAAATAAAGTTAACAGAAGAAACCCCCCCCCCCTTGTAGTCCTGAGTCTGCTTTATCGGCTAGCATAATTGTACTTCTTTAAAAATTTCCTTGCGGGATAGACAAGGCAATGTACTATCCAGGTGTGGTAGTTAGAAATGGGGTCAGATTTTTTAAAAGGGCATCTACACATTATCTCCCCCTATATCGCTTGAGGTAATAAGTGTTCGACATGGAAACGAAAAATATCAATGATAAAAAAATTGAAACTCGACTAGGAGAGGCGGAATATTAACAAATTACTAGCTATAATTTGAATAATTAATACCATTATCAAAACTCCATAAATGATCTCGAACAAAAATTCCAGATTCACTAATGCATTCTACTTGGGTTACTTGAGCTGCAGTACAATTTGCTTTTATTATTGCAGTACTTTCGTTTTTATTAGACATAGACCAAACAATATAAGAAACTTGATGTCTTTCCAGAAAACCCCACCTTAATACATATTATATAAATTTAAAGTAGGTATTTCGGAAAAAAATTAAATTATCGAAATAAGCAGAATTTGAATTAGCCAAAATAGGTACTACATATTATATCAAGTTATTTTCAGAGAAGGAATGTTCAACTAATTTTTCATTAGAATATTTTAATGACCGAGGTTTTTGGCTAGAATCCTTCTCGAAACCCCCAGTTTTACTTTCACGAGTTAGGCCTAGGGACTTAATTAATTGTATCTAACCAGTATTTAACCATATCATATTCTATTGGCGCATGTTCTTCTAGACTTGTCGTTCCATATTCGCTTACAAATGTTCCTAAACCTTTCCTTTTTGCACTAAGAATCATTCTTTGTTGAAGAGTATGATGTATATTGTCCGGAATGGCATACCAATGTAAAGCATATCTTTAGGATTACAAATTTATTTAAATATGGACTTGGTACATTCCAAAGCTTTTTACCAAAGTGCCGAAACTAATTATAAAAAATAAAAGGCTAAACTAAATAGCACGCTACAAGCATTTACTATTTATTGAACTAAGTTCCTTTGAACTTTTTCATTCTTAATACGTTAAAAATGATTGCTAGTAGATAAATAAATATATAAGTAACTTACAAAAAATTGTATCCAATTATAGGTTGGGTTAATACAGCAGAATTAGGCCCAGTTGACCAATCAGGCGTTCCTCCAATTATAACTGCATGCTTATCATTGGATCTTATTGCCTTTTATTTTTGTTATATGATCAACATTTAATTATAAAATAATCACAGGCTACATAAGTTTTT